AATTAATCTGCAGTCAGTTACAACGAAATGGAAAACCACTCTTTGCAGGCATTGCTCTTACATCTGTTAGTCCCGAATATCTTACTTAGCTAGACATTCTTAGCAACACAGCTACTAAAAAGACGATCTCTGTTCGATACTTTTAAGGTAAGCTCACGCCTTCAGAAAATCACTCTGTTGAAGGTGCCGAGAAGGTAATACTAATTTCGCTTAATATAAAGTTTTTCTCCTTCAGAAGGAACGCATTAGTGATTTCATTCTACAGTAACCCCAGATTCTCTGATTATCACCCATACGAAATTGTTCAAAAAAGTGCTAGTGTAATCTGTCGAAACAGTAGATAGATACTGATCAAGTTCTTTGAAGCAATAACATTTATTATCTCTGCATACGTGTGAAAATTAACGGAGCCAATTAAATTTAGATGGTTTCCTCAATCTCCAAATAAAAATTTGGCACATTTCATAATAAAAGGCGAATACTTGCGATAATATTTGCCAAACCAATAATTGCACGAAAGACCTTTAAAGCGTCCTTCTTAGTTCCGAGTCTCGTCAGGATTAATCGGTGCCACGATGCTACTTCTTGGGCTGGTGATGAGACTGTTTTCATTTCCACTGTATTGAGTTATTACCTTTACCTTATTTCAGGTTTTGCTCCTGCCGAGCACAGTTTTAGCAGGTAAGTTAAAATATAAAATTTAAGTCAGCATTTGTAAGCAGCTAATTGTAAGTGTTCTTCATTGCATCTATGCTTCTCAAATTCAAATAGAAGCCTAGATCTTCCTCGATTATCTACTTCTAAGAGTCTCAGTCATGGAATCAAGCCAGATGATATAGCTAACTTTGCCAAAGTAAGGGATATAGATGAACGTGCTCATTCCCCGAAAGTCCTATGTACGCCCAGCGATTGAATAGCTGTTGAAGTTAACTTTATTACAAATTGACATGAAATTTGCTATTTCCAATTCAACTGCTCCTCGGAGCGTGTTTATTATAGAGTGCGATCCTGCTGGTGCAGATCAGAAAGCAGCCCTACTGCAACACAATATGGTAAGGAATGATACTGTCAAGAAAGGCTTGGATACCGATAAACTTGGAGATTTACCAGGATCAAAAAGCTTGTTCCACTTTGTAAGTTTTTAAACAGATTATTTGGCAAAAAAACTGGCATTTGGTAGTTTTATTGATTAAAGAATTACAGAATTACGATTGCAATCTTGAAGCTCTTGCAACCGCACTCATAAAATCAGATTGCACTCGTTCATCGTTTGACTACAAAGCTTTAGGAAAGGGCAGTAACTTCTACTCGTAAGTGTCTATATAAATGTGAAGTGTCTTTAAAAATGTTATCATTGTCGACAACGTGTTCGTTTTCATATCTTTCACCTGAATCAGTCAGTTTGAAGGCCCAATCTGGGTTTCCCACTTCTAAATGCATCTTGTACTCTTTACAGTTACGTAGGATTACGGTATATAGCAGATGGCTTCAAGGCTACGTTAAGCTATTGCCATGTAGTAGATAGCACTAAATAATCTTCGGCAATTAAGCAATGTTAAAACAATCACTGGATCAGTCTTGCAGTACTTTAAGCCAGCCTCAAGCCCTAAAAGTCATTAGAACTTTGTACCTCAATCCTACCCAGCGGAATCTATAAAACGCTTACAGTTACAGTACCCTCAAAAAAATCAGGCCTCAAGGAATGTTGAAAAAAGAAGAATAATAAACGGCTAAACAGAATCGCCACATTTGAGAGATATTTTCAAAGCACGTAGATGAGAAAGCATATGGTAAAGTATTTGCAGAGGTCGCAGTGGCTCGGATTTCGGTGCCGCAGTTAGTTATGAATTCGCTGTGGATGAATGGGCTGGTAACCCTGCTGCTCCTCT